AAGAACCATTCCTGCAATACTGTCAGCAGCTGAATAGAGGATGAGGAATAGCTGTCGTTTGCCTATGGGTGGTGCATGCTGCAGGAAAACAAAAAGATTTGGAAAGAAAAGCGCCTTGAACAGGTGGAGTCAATCTGTTCAAAAATTCGGTGTGATTTGATTTGAACACGATAGAACAATTTCTGAAAGATGTTCTCAGATGGCAAATCCAGTTCTGTTTGGTGCTCCATTGAATCCCGGATATTAAATTCATTAATTTAAATTTAGCAAATTAAATGTACCCGGTGTGTCAGAGACAGAATCCTTGATACCATTCTACATTCAATGTCCGTACAGACAGGACAGTGAGATTGGCTTGTGGCTTGCAGATCAAGCTTTCTATTGCTGGCTCTGGGCTACCATCACCAACGCAACCAAAACCCTCGTCCACGCCTTCATGACTTCCTGGCTGGATCATTCCAATGCCCTCCTAGCTGGTCTCCCCAGCTCCACAGTACACAAAATACAATTAACTCAAAACTTGCTGTCCAGATGCTCACGAACACGAAACTCAGTACACCCCATCAAACCAGTCCTTGTCAGACTCCACTGGCTCCCAATTGCTGAACGTATCGATTTCAAGATCCTCTCACTCGTTTTCAAATCACTACGTGCCCTCACACCTCCCCACCTATCCGACCTGCTTAACTCCCACTCAACCACCCACTGCCTTCACTCTATTGGCTGCGGCCTCCTGTTTGTCTCTCGTCTGCTCTGCTCCACCATCGGTGGCTGTGCCTTCAGCCATGACACCCTGAAATTCTGGAACTCTCTCCCTCAATCCCTCTGCCTTGCCCCCTTCCTCCCTACATTCAAATCCCGCCTAAACACCTTCCTCTTTGATCATGCTTAGTGATCACCTTCTCCCTTCTTCTCCCGCTAGCTCTTTGTCAGACTCTGACACTTTAAAGCCTCCAGGATGCTACTCCGTGTGAAGGGCACTATATAAATGCAAGTTTTGCTATTGTAGTAGTTGTACCATCTATTCTAGGTTTTGTTTTGTAAAAGCCAGTGTATTGCTAACTGGCAATCAGAAGCTGCAGTTTGTGAGTTGGAAATGCAATGGTTCATTTGAGAACAGTATTGGGGACTCAGGCTTCAACACGTCAGGGTAGATGAAAACATTGAACTAATTTAAAAAGCATCTTGATGCTGCGATAGGTGGACTATAGGATGGCTGTCCTAGAGGGATGAGATGAGAAGGGCCGAAGAGCTTTCTTCATCCAAACTAATTATGTTGTGATGTGACACATCCATCCGTCCATCCGTCCATACATACATACATACAGTAAAATAAAACAAAAGATATAACTGAATAATGGAGGAAAGGAGGCATAAAGTATGGGTGGAACTGCAGCCTAGTCCTTCAGGCCCATCCTATGTTTAATTTGGAAAGATGGGGGCCATCTTAGTATGGTTCTCTGATATATAACTGGGTCATTCATGTTGCTGCAATGCTAATACTCTTCTAGGCAGTGTGAAGCACAGAGAATTAACACAGTGGGAGCTGATGGCACAAACACAGAATGTGTGCTGTGGCTGGGGAAGACATTAGTGCTATTACAAACAGCATTTATCTTATTGTACCAGGATGAAATGTTGTTCTTTGCAGACATTCAAATCAAAATTATTTTAAATTCAAAGTGTGGTTAAAGAGGGAAAATAAAATCAAACCGATAAATAAGGCACTGTCCATTGTTGGGTCATTTGGTTTGTTGAAAAAGCTTGGTGAAGATTCAAGCTTCATGACCTGGTGGAAGATTGTAAAGAATAGAAAAGAAAACAAGACAAATCATGATATTGTTAGGTGATATCAAACATGGGTTTTCAAAGCCTATAAGAATAATTTGGACGTTTGATATAGCGGCTTTCAAATTAGAAGGAAGTCTCAAAGACCTTCACAGGTTTTGCTGTAACATGTACTGACTATATTTAGAGCGAGTATATGGATTGCAGGTAGCAATAAAGAATATTAAGAGCTAGAGTTGGAGACTTTGCAATGAGTCTTGATTTCACCAGACTGAAGGAAGAATGAGTAATGTAGTGTGCAGTGTCCTTAGAGTTTACAAGAAACAAGAGAGTGTTCTGAGGAGAAATAAAGTAACACTGACAAGAAAAATGAAAGGTTGTACTGAAGTGAGAGAGAATGGTTGGAGACTAGTTTAGATGGCAGGCTCTTTTTTGTTTCCTGTACAGGAGTCTGACTGAAGTGTCAGAAGAATTCCCAATACAGAAACATATTCAAGACTTCAACAGACTTGGATTTTACAGAGAGTTAAGGATTATTGAAGTAAAAATAAGTGTTTGGTATCAAAAAAAGAACCAAGCTTCTTCAAGGCAATTTTTCTTGCAATGGAACAGAAGTGACAATAATACCAAAAGTGTGCTTTGTTCAAAAAGATTATAAAGGCTGGACAGAATTTGCAGTTCTTAAGGAAAGAGGAAAGCTGTTTAAAAATTATAAGCTTCAGACATTTATTTAGTAGCAAAGTCTCTAAAAGAGAATATAAATTCTCCCTCTTCCTCTTGTGTTCAGTAGCTTCAGTATTGATTTGATTCAAGTGTCATGCTTTCACAGAAACGAATTTACTTCAGCTATACAGAAAACCTGAAAGCTGAATTGGTGTGAAAGGCACAATAAGAAGGTAAAACAATGGCATCCGTGATGGTGAAAAAAGGTAATGTTGAACTAGTTTGACTTCTGCAAAAGAGTTTTTTCATCTGAGCATTAACTTTTGAAATGCATGTGTTTTTAAACATAGATTCTCAGTCTCTTTCAAAATGTGGGAGTCAAACCTTCAAACTTGAGGCTAAAATCAATTCCATTTCATAACATAATATTGAATTCTACACTGCACTAAATAACTAAATGCCCCAAAGGCCACCTATGGGTATATTGTTTGGATACTTTCAGCACCTCATGAATAAAAAACTTCTTGCTGGCAGCATGACAATTTTGCATCTTAGACCATTATTTTCTAAGTATTTACAGTAGTAAAGAATCAGAGGTTAATATATTGAATATTTCCAGTTCATTAAACACCACTTAAGAGTGGTTATGGATATTAAATAGTGATCTAAATTAGAAATACTCATCAAAAAATATCAAATGAAAGGAGTAACATGCTGACCAATCAGTGGAAGATGCAGCTCATTTGATTAAATAATACATGGTTGCATGGCTTCCTTAGTGAAAAAGACAGAGTCCGTTGTTTTGCAAACCCCAGTTTCCTTCATTGAAATTTATAACTTTGGCAGATAGAAAATACATAACTAATGGTGCATTGTGTCAGGGACAATTCTCTGCTTCCTCCTTGGTTTACTTACTGATGACCAGAGACTCACGCTCAAGTGTTTTATCATTATCCAACTATTGTTTTGGATAGATATTTCTGGAGTAAAAATAAGGGATAAGGCAGGGAGATAGGATAAGGAGGAACATGGAATATTTTTTGCCCACAAAAATAGTCAATCCACTTTACAATATATTCTGTGAAGTGCTTTGAGAAGTATCAATGACATGATAAGGCACTATATCAAATGCAAGGATTATTATTATTTTAATGGACCATCTGTGGTGGGTGGGCAAAAGGGCTTTCTCCTTTCCGATTTTTCTATGTTGCTTTGATTTGCCAAGTTTTTAATACTTACGTCCTGAAGAGCTTTGGCTCCTTTTTTCGTCTAAAAGGTAGGCTATATAGACATTCGACTCCCCACTTACACCTTACTCCCATGGTGGCTGTTACATATGTGTGAGTGAATCTCAGTGATGAGTGTGAACAGGATATTCAACCATTACTAGTGAATCCTATACTATTCTTACCCAAAACCAATTTAAATGATATTGGAGTTCTAAGAGATGAGTGGCACAAATCCTACCTTATTTTTCCTCCTCTCACCCACAGGATGTCAAGACCAATTGAAGAATATCTACTATTAACCCAGCAGTGATCAGTTAACTCAGCATTCTGAGATTTTCAGAACAGAAAAACAGATGGAACACCAATTCCATGGTTTTGTAGACACATTTGAATGGCATTCCACATCTAACTTCTAAGCCTCCAGTTTGGAGCCCAGTGCACAACCACAGTTACTGGATCCCTCCCTCTGAAGAGAAGATGGGATGAAATCCCTCTGTGTGTTTATCATGGAGAGCATTCCATTAGATGTCCTCATTGTCAAGGTCTCTATTCTAAGCAACAAGAGGACCATCTCACTCATAGCCACCCTATATGTGGCCAGTCAATATTTTCCATGCTTCAGTGAATACATGTTCTTGGACACAGTTCACAAATGAGCCGGTTCCACGTTTGATAGATTCCACGTTCCATTCTGACTCACTTTTATAGAACTTCTTCTCTGATATTTCGTATCAGGGTTGTTGATACAAAGCGTTATTCTGCTGACCAGTTTTTGGCCCATGATATGTAGGTGTGGAACCTAGAAGCATAGGAACAGGAGTAGCCCATTCAACCCCTCAAGTCAAGCCTGTTATAATAATAATAGGCTGTTCCGCCATTTTATTAGATCACGGCTGATCTGCACCTCAACTCCAAATAGAGTGTGGATGTAAGTGGAGTGTGTATGCATGTGTAGGGTGTCTCCCTGGGTACTTAGTATCAGTTTGATGGTGCAGAACAACATTTGTAACTTTTTACATTAACAGATATGATCAAGGTTTCTAAAGGAAGCTGAGGCTTTCAGTGTGGTAGAGTTGGGATACTATTTAAAATACAAATTTTAGCTTTGAGATGATTTGATTCATGATAATCCTACTTTATCATCTGGAGCACTGAAGTGAAAATTTCATCCTCTTTCCAAAACTCTGTTACCTATTTTTCTTTTCCCTTATTAACAGATAAATGTCCCTGTCACATGGAACTATGCATTTCCTGGTAAATCATCCCTCGATTTTGCATTGGTTAAAGACGAGTGGACACAGGTGAATGAAGAGCTATTACCTGACAAGGTCAATGACTCTCTCTCTGGGAGCTGTGCTGACAGGTTCATCATTTATCTTTATTATTTGATCTCCTGGTATCAGCTTGCCTTCAGAGGGCCCACCTAGAAGAGAAAATAAAATCTATTTAACATCCCAACAGTACGAGGCTAACTGCAAATGATGCATTGCATTTGAACGCTCAAGCCCACAACATTAACCATTTCTTGATAATAAAAAAAGGTTTAGTACTTGCTGAAGTCATTTCAATGGCAGAATTGATATGCCTTACCTGCTAACCCTGGGTGGGCAGAACATTACTTTTACAAAGCGATGAGGGGCATCCCTTTCACTTATATTCTCCTGAGCTGAACCCCTGTATAAACACGTTCCTTATAAACACATGCTTGAAAAAGCATTGTCAAAATTATGTCTGTGGTAGTCTTGATAGTTCATCACTGTCCAGAACCTAAAAGACCTAGACCTGCCTGGGTCTGCAATACACCTGGACAGTGATGATGGCAGCTCAGCCAGCCAGGACTTAGAAGGGTAGACCAGTTACTGGGGGCAGGTATTCTTTCTACTCAGCACCCATTAACCCTGAAAGCCATAGATCTAGCAGGTAGGGTGGATGGTCTTAGCTGGACAAGTAGAAGGAAGCTTGCCAGATAGTACTTTCAATGGCAAGCTATACTGTTTTAGCTGGTTAATCACCAAAGCTGTCCCCAAAGGACACACCCAAGCCTCAGCTCTTGCTAACCTGCCCCTAAGCATTTTCCAGAATATTTCCCTCCCTTGAGGGAGAGCATGTGCTTTCCATTTCAAACACAGGGAAATTCCCAAGTGTCATGGGATTTTTAGTCTGGGTTGGAGAGTAACCATGGTGATGAATTTTTGCTGTGTCAGACTCCTCGCTGACCAAAATAAAATGTGAAACACATTACCCTGAGAGTGGTGGCAGGTTATCAGTTATCTCTGTAGACATGGAGATTGCTTGGATAACCTTGCAGCAGATAGATTAATGAGGTGGGATTGATCCTCTATTTAATCTAACTTCACTCTTGAGCCGCTTGCTGGAAATGTTAGTCAAGACTAGGAGTTGAAGGCAAGATGTTTCAGATCCAATACTCCAGTGTTAATTCTCTGGTTATCCAAGATAATTTTAATATATTATCCAAAGGATATGGTTAGGATAGTCCATGTCTCTTTAACCCACATTGGGTGATTCACACAACAACAAACCCCCTGCTGCACAGAAGAAGATGCTATCACTTGAAAGAACATAGCGATATATTGTTTGAAGTTAAGAAAATATTAATCAATAAAGTATGTTGCACTTCTCGTGACTACCATACTGTCAGAGGTTCGGCCCTTGTACTAACAGATTAAAGAATCAACAGGAATAGTTGCTGATTCTCGATTATCATTTGGATTGTTTATTTGACTATAAATGTTATTTGTTTAGCAGAATAACACCACACAATTTACACTCATATAGCACCTTTCACATTGGGAGGATATCCCAAAACGCTTGACAATTCTGGCTTGGCACTGGAGTTGAAGGTGGGGAATGCACTAAAATGGAGGAAATCTCAAAGTTCAAATCACTCACTGGCTTTCGGTGTTGAGCAAGAAGTACTGTATTATCACTGTCACTGCACGTATATTTTGTACATCACCTCAACCTTTTGGTTAATACTTGATTCAAACACTGAACCTCCATTGATTGACTTCAAGGCAATCTATAATGCCCTTGTAATTGGTCTTTCTAATTGTGTTCGCAAAAAATTCATTTATTCCACACATTTAAATGTAGAAAAACAGAAATTAAATTGGCTTTGGGGTGATGATTCACAGTTATTAATCCCAATGAAAGCATTTATTTTTATTACCGTAATCTTTTTATTGACCAAAACTCCCAAGTCATCAGCTGCTTTAGTTTCTGGGTGCATGAAACTGACAAACTAATTATCGTAAATTTCCCACCAGCAGCTGAAAGTCTCAAATTAAATGATTTGAAACAATCAAAAGAAACCTCACTACAAAGCACAACTTTCTTAACATATTCTTAACACAGTGCAGTCCTGTAGATGCACCTCTGTATACTGCAAATTTGGGCATAACGTGGTCTCACAGTGGATCTGTGCCATACTGACTTCACGAGGAGAAGTCACCATTGACTGTCTGGCCTCCTAAACACAGCAATCGGGCACTGTGGGGTTCAGTGGCATAAATAGCAAACCCTGGTAGGGAAGGTGAGTTGCACCACAAAATCCACCCTGAAGGATTAAGCACCACTATAATCCATCCATCCTTGAAGGATTCTTAGCAGTGGTTTGTAACAAGGTTGGACTATGGGGTTTAGCTGATTGTTGTAGCACACAGGACGTTTCACTACAGCTCACCTGGTGTGACGGAGCGCACCACGACTGGCTTCTCGCTCCCTGCCACAAACCCAAACCCCAACACAGGATCTCGCTTCATCTCGATCTTCCGAGCGACTGGTGGGATGACCTGACCTCCCTCAAGTCGAGGGTCTTCAAAGCTTGTCTGTGTCACATGACTGAAAGAGAGCACAGAACAGAAGGTGATATTTTCAGGTTAACACAGATTATCGTCTAGCTGTAAACGGACCACTGCAAACCGGGCAATATTACATTTATACCAAGTGCAGAACTGACCACAGAGAAAAATAAGCAATGTTCTGAGACTACAATCACCTGCTTTATTCCTATATTTTCCACTGTAGATTTTTTTGTGTCTGAAAGCCCATCAAGAGGAACACTGACTCCCCCATACTTATGGAAAGAGATCCAGTGGTTTATTTACAGATCAGATGTTTAAAAATATTTGATTTTGATGTAGTGTCATATCACATTGAAACCTCTCAAGACGCTTCACAGTAATTAGTGCTAAGTCTAGTGACTGTATATTTATAAGGCAAATACAGCAGCCAATTTGTGGACGGTCACGTCCCACAAACAGCCATGAGGTGAATGACCAATTTTATCTGGAGGATTGCTGCCCATGAGGTTGGAAGGAACTCTATTTAAAATCGTGATTATGAGAGCTTTAACGTCTTTCTGAACAGGCAGCAAGGATCTCAGTTTGATAATAATAATATAATTATATAATAATATAATTCTGGAGCACTCTCCCTCAATCCCTCTCCCCTCTTTCAAGTCCTGCCTGAAAACTTTCTTCCTCGACTGTGCTTATGGCCGCCTTCCTACCTCCCCCGGCTTGGAGTCAGGCTCCGCCACTGTTAAGCGCTCTGAGATGCTACCCTGTGTGGAGTGCGCTATATAAGTGCAAGTTGTTGTTATAATCCTTGCATTTGATATAATATAATAATAATAATAATAATCCTTGCATTTGATATAGCGCTTTTCACGTCGGGAGGACGTCCCAAAGCGCTTCACAGAATATACTGTAAAGTGAATTGACTGTATATTTGTGGGCGAACGCAGCAGCCAATTGCACACAGCAATGTCCCACAAACAGTCGTAGATTGAAAATGACCAATTTATTATTGTTTGGGGTTTTGGAGGGATTATTATTAGGCTCTGTGTGGAGTAAGGAAACTTGCCCAAGGTTTCGCCCTGCCTGGAATTGAACCCAGGTGTCTTGCTTGCAAAGCAAGTGCTCTAACCACTGAGCCACAGGACTCCGCAGTATCACGCACTATATCATATAGTGCAGTATCACGTCCTTGAGCTGTCTCAAAGCTCTTCACAGAATATACAGTAAAGTGAATTGACTATATTTTGTGAGCAAATATAAAGAGGGTGAAGCCCACACCTATCAACCATAGAATATAAGGCCCAAGAGTAATAAATAATAATCCTGGCACTTGATATATCACCTTTTGTGAATATAGTGGATATAGTGACCAAATATTTTTTTTTTGAAGGTTTTATTATCCCCAGAAAAGCAATCTGCCAACCGACTAGCAACCAAGTTCCTAGTTACTGCTAGGTAAACAGGCGTGTGGAGTAAGGAAAGTTGCCTAACATTTTGTTTCCCCGCCCGGAAATCAAACCCAGATCCTCTCGCTTGTGAGGCGAGTGCTCTAACCAATAAGTTACAGGACTCCAAGTGGTAGTGACAAGTTAAGCCAAGGTTGAGTTATCAGGAGTTTACTTCATGTACACACATGCACACACATGCATTGTACTGTGTTACTGTTGGCGAGTCCTCTCACCACTAAGCTACAGGTCCCCACATGGCACCTCTGAAAATGCACTCCCCCTGACACTGCACCTGAGCATCAGCCTACAGCATGAGCTGAAATTGTGTGACGTCCAATTTCAATGATGCAACTGCAAGGGTAGAATTTGATGGATATTTAAAAAACAACTAATCATAAAATAATTCTCATTCTACTCCAAGAAGAGTTGTACAAATATAAATGTGATAAATAACCATAGAGCAGTGAAATAGAGGTGAGATTTGATCCACTATCTTTCTTCTTTGTAAATCTTTGTATTCCATAGCTCTATGTAATCTTGTTTGCCACATTTCTCTGTGTTTCATCAGCACTGCTTTCTCTCTTTGTCTCTCAGTGCCGCTGATGTCACTACCACCCTCGCTTCTGAGAGGCTGCTCCCAGTACAATCAAAAGCAGAAAAGAGATTCATTCATCTCCATGTCTGTCTTTTTCTTTTTGTTCTGCTTTCTATTATACTCAGAAACACAACGCAAACTTATTCCTGGTGAGGGGGTTCTGGCTCAGGAACAACATCAATAGCACAAACCAACTAAAACAAAAACTTTGTGCTGTTTATATGTTTGGTTTGGTCTGTCATTTGTCTGATCCATTTGTCTGACACATGCGTAAATTATTGTCATTCTTAATAGTGAGAGATCTACACATACATACCACGTATGTAAGGAAATTTCTGTGTCGGGAATTGAATGTGCCCTATCTCCCTGGAGGGAGCGAGATGCACCCTGCTTAGATAATTCTCAATAGTATTATGCACAGGTTGGCAAGAGCCAAGAGTGCTGCTGGATTGTAAGCAGCTTAAACCACATAGCTTGCTATTGTGAGCACTATCTGGAAAGCTTCCTGCTGTTTGTCCAGCAAGGATTACCTTACCCCTTACAGGTTTGGCTTGCAGGTTTAACATGAGCCGGGTGCAAAACATCCCTGCTTTCAGTGACTGATCCGTTGCTTTAAGTCCTGCGGATCAGCCAGGCCTGCTGGTCTGCCATCAGCAAAGCCTAGCAAGTACTGCAAACCCGTCTGGCTTAGGAACCTGACTCCCAAGACCATCACAGCGATAGACTTGATTCCGTTGCTAAGTACATCATTTTGGAGCCACCTCGGCCCCAAGGAGACCCCACTACCACCACCTCTAAACAATATAGACAGACCCTGCACTTTTGGCAATCATTGTTGGTAGTAACATTATAAAGTTAAATGTCCGTAGTCAAAGTAAGTGATTAAACATAAAGCTCAGCTATGAATTTTCAATCAACCTAACACAAGAAGGAGCCAGGAGAAGAGAATTCTGAAAGCAAACATTGTTGGATTTTTTTACCAACATTATATTATATTTCTCTACAAAATACACAGTAACTTCAATTTACAGTATATTCTGTGAAGTACTTTGTGATGTCCTCCCGACATGAAATGAGCTATACTAAACATAAGGATTATTAGAAACATGAAATTCACAGTGCAGAAGGCCATTGAATCCACACTAGCTCACAAAGGAAGCAGATCATTTCAATCCCACTGCCGCACCTTATCCCTCTACCCCTTCAAGCCCCTCTCTTTCATACACCTGCCTATTCCCTCTTGAAAGCTATAATGGATTCTGCCTCCACCACCCAACTTGGTAGGCCTTCCACACCCCAACTACTCTTTGGATGAAACAAATCCTCCTCAGTCCTCCTTCTGCTGTTTGTGATCATCTTATGTCCCCAAGTCATTGTTTTCCCTATCAATGCAAATAACTCTTTACCCTGTCAAAACCTCTCATAATTCTGTACACCTCTATCAGATCCCCCCCTCAACTTTCTCTACTCCAATGGAAACAGATCCAGCCAATTGCTCCTCGTAACTATTATATGTAAATATTATGACTTTATTAAGAAGGTTGGCTACAAATTGTTGAGATCAAAGTTTTGAAAATCTGATTCTGATGAATCTTTAATGTTTCAGACTTCCATCTAAGCCACATTATGAAGCAGATTTCTTTAAAAGAAGAAATTTAATTTTTTCTTGCCCCTGAATGCAGGAAACTTTCAATTGAGAATGTGTCAGAAGACTGCAACCAAGGGATGCATAGGGTGGCTAAACTGACCCCAGCCTTCCCTGGGTTAAACAGAAGGATTCCTGCCCCTGTCCCTCTACTGGTTGTGTGTGTCTGTATCAGTCACAAATAATCCCAGACCAAAACACAGCAAAGCCACAATCATGAAATGCATGGCAAGTTAGCTGTTTGGAAAGAAAAGCAGATTAGCAATAGAAAGCAGAAGGCAATCATAATTAGGACAAGCTTTATCTGTGGAGCAGGGACTAGTAGAGGCGATAGGCTCAATTCTGTGTGCACTGTTGCTCATGTTATTCAGAATTGACTTGGAAGCAAACATGGCTTGCAGTAAAACAATTTCTGATGATGGCAAGCTGTTAGGGCAGGTGAATCATGTAATAATGTTCTTGCATTTGATATAGTACCTTATCACGTCTTTGAGATGTCTCAAAGTGCCTCACAGAATATACAGTAAAGTGTATTGACTGTGTATTTTGTGGGCGAATATAAAGAGGGTGAAGCCCACACTGTAAGACCATAGAATGTACGGCTCAATTAAATGGTTTATCAACAGGAATAAATAATAATCCTTGCATTTGATATATCACCTTTCATGTTGGGAGGATATCTTAAAGGGCGTCACAGAGTTTACTTTGAAATGCAGTAACTGTGTACAGTATTTTGTAGACAAACCTGGCAGCCAATTTGTGAAGAGCAATGAGTGGCAGATAATTATTATCAACCACCCTTCCTGGTATCTTTTCTGATTATTAATTATGCTCTGGATGAATTCACAGTTCCTAGTGTTTGTCCTGAAATTGCCCGTTGTGATCCTAAATCTGTAACTTGTTCTGCTGTCTCAGTGCATCCAAACGTTTTTGTGAGTTTACTTCCTTAATCTCCTTTAAAATCTTGCATACTTCCATAAAGGTCTCCTCTGAGACATTTCCTCTCCAGACTGAAGAGCCCAAGTTTGTCCACTCATTGCTCATAGCTCATTTCTCTAACACTGCCGTGTTGCTTTCCTCTGCCTCTGGCTTTAGTGCCTGAGCAGCTCCTTTATGTTGCAGAACAGTATTCTAGGTGCAGCCTGTCCATAGAATTACATAGATCATTAGTAAACCCACAATAGTAGGGTTAGAAATGCACTCATTTGGAAAAAGGAGCACAAATGATGTCTCGCACCTCAGGACATAATGTGGATCTCACAGTGCCACAAACGAGCAAACAAAACAAAATGACTGCCTTAGAGATTAAAATAGCTATCGTAGTAAGGAAAGGGCACAGACGCCTCTTTTAA